CACACACACACACATATATATACACATGACACTTGTGAGCATACAGTCAGTGAGTACACTAAGGATCTGCTCGCCAGGATATTCCAGAGGGGTTGGTGGGGGCCAGGACTCCACATCCAATTGGAAAGTTTTACTTGCCTGGTAAAAGACATTCCAGATCTTGGCAAATGTCCCTGGCTTGATGTTACCACCTCTCCAAACAGGCTTTGGAGCCAGCTGATAACAGCAAGGTGTCCCTTGGCTGGAGGGCCCCTGCTGGGCTGGTAGCACCTAGCCCCAGTTGGTCTGCTTGGAGCAGTGGCTGAACAGAAGTGCTAAGGGCATTTCTCTCTGTCCTACAGTACCAGAAGCCAAAGGAGATCCTGGCTGCAGAAGAACAGCTGCAGAAGGAGCTGAAGAAGATAAAGGCAGCAAACAATGGGGATGGAGACTGTAAGACCCAGTAGGCAGTGGTTGCTAAGAGGTTGAAGTGAGGGGCAGCTCTCTGGCACAGCTTCATGGTATTTATTTTGCCTTTTCAAATAAAAATTAGCTCTGTTGTTAATAGAGCCATTGGGAGGAATCTTTGTAGGCCCAGGGAGACAGCAGGGCAGCTGCCCCAGGAGGTGGTGGATTCACCATCCCTGGAGGTTTTCAAGATGAGATTGGGTGTGGCACTGACTGACATGTTCTAGTAACAACGGTAGGGTTGGACTCGATGATCTGTGAGGTCTCTTCCAACCCAGCTGATTCTATGATTCTATGACACCTTCCACTAGACCAGGTTGCTCAAAGCCCTATCCAACCTGGCTTTCAACACTTTCAGAGATGGGGATGATCCGTCTGTGAGTTGTTGGAAGCTGCACTATGCAATGAAAGCACACCACAGGCAGTAGCACTGTACCCATCCTCCATGAGCAACATGAAACCTGGTAGTTTCCCTTGGAAATTCTCTCTCACCATTACTGAAGGTAGTAATGTTTCGAAAACAAGAACTCCCTCCTCACACCCATTACCTGCCTGGGATGTGCTTGGAAGCAGTTCTCTCCTGTGCTGTTGTGCAGGTCCTCCATGCAGTTAGGATGCTCTGGTGACCCTGGTGTCTTTGCAAACAGCATCAATGCTTAGACTGAGTGGGCCCAGCCTATGAAATAGGGTGAAAAGGACACCCAACTGCTGTCTCACCACCAGCCACATGCAACATGACGCAGCTGTGCAGAGTGTAGGAGCTGCAGTGCAGCTGCCTTCATTGGCATGGCACGGAGCGGATGGCAGTGCTCAGGCCACTGGCCGGCCCAGGAGCAGCAGTAGCCCACCTTTCTGTGGAGGCACAAACCTTGCTGCACAGGGACAACCCCAGTAGTGCTGCTTTACCAACTCCCGTCCAACAGCCATTCCTGTGCTTAGATTTCCAAATGTTGTTCCATCCCAGTTCATACTTGAACAGCTCCTACTCAAACAAATCTTACCTTCAAGTGAGCTGGTGATGGGCTCCTAGCATAGGTCCCCTGATGAGAGCTGCTTTCAAACCAGGAAAACTCCTTAGAGCCTAGGGTTCCATCAAACATCCTCCTCCAATTCTTGTGCTTGAAAAGGGAAGAGCAGCCTCTTGGCAGTGGAAATTAACCTATTAACATGCTGAGTCCTTCACCCAAGAACTGTTCCCAGTTTGTGAAACAAACCTCTCCTTTACCTATCCAGGATGCCCAAACTCAGAGCCAAGTAGGGTTCATGTACCTCCTTTCCCAAGGAGGGCCTGACCCCAGATACCAGTGCATTCACCCACAGCATGTTTATCCACATGTATCCAGACAGCACAGAGCACACAAAGCTATGGTTGTTCACAGACCCAGGCTGGGTTCAGAAAGGTTACACAAAAAGGAGCAGAGCCCTCTTAGATGTGCCTACAGGATCCCAGCAGATCACATCCAGGTGTTTGCATGAGTCTGGTTTACTGCTTCATTATTCAGGCAGAGAGCAAGTTGCAGATCCTACTTTTTGAAATCTTGTTTGGAAAAGTGACAAGAGATCAAATATCCCAGAGCTGCCTTCAATGCAGCAGTGTCACAGGGTCTAGCCAGGGAGAGAGCTCTGTTAGACATGTAAAGAGTGTCGGAAAATAGGCCCTACCTCCCCTGCCCAGCCAGTCCTCTGATCAGCACTATCATCGCAGTCCCTTTGGAACTCGAAACAAAACTATACAGTCTTTTTTTGTTTTCCTTCAGTTTTATTTAGCAAAACGTGACCATTTCAGCCCTGCCAAGTGCACAGCCTGACCTGATGGCCAGCTTGGGGAGGCACACACTGAAAGCAGGGCTGGCTCTGCCTTGTAGTTCAATTGTTGCTCTTGGCTGTGAAGGACAACACAAGCAGCTGTCAGGAGAGCAAGCGCAGGTAAAAGGTGGGCCCTGCTCCAGGCACCTTTCCGTTCCACCAAATCAGTCCACCCCACACATAAGCCTAGACTTGGTTCATGCGGCTCAGAGCTTGGCTGCTCTCAGCCTGACCAGCACACACAGTTGATAGGGCATCCTGGCTCAACTTGCCCCTCAAATGCTGTATCCACAGGAGAAATAAGAGAGGGAAAAAAAGGAACACCATTAATAAAACAAACCCTGACTTCCACAAAATAAAAAGGATAAAGGACAATTGGCCTTTTATTTCCACTAAATGGCAGGTGAGGTTGAGAAAGTTTGGCCCTTTGTGCACTCTTCATTGTAGCTTTCTGACAGGCAAAAAAAGTCCCTTCAGAAGCCTTGTGGCCATTCTCACCTCCTGCCCTGTGATTCCCTGAGCCAAGTGTCAGCTCTGCTGAGTTGGGGTGATCAGAAGTAGCTGTGGTGCCCTTTACGGGGCCGTGAAGTCCAGGACGTGCAGGGCTGATGCCACGGCAGCGTACAGGTGGGTGGTACTGAAACGGAGGCAGTAAACTGGGCTGCTGGTGGGTGAAGACAGGTGAAAGCTCTGCAAGAAAACAGGAGAATCAACCTTTCAAAGAAGAGGTGAGCCCAAAGACCCCAGCTGGTGTAACAGACCCAAAGGCCGAGACAACTGAGGAAATCAGGCTTTTCCCTGCATATAGGTTAGGTTCCCCATGGTAGGCTTGCCCCAAAGACAGCCCAGCAGCCTCTCTCTTCTACTAAAGAGACATGGGCATAGAGCTGCCAGAGAACAGCTCAGCAAGTCTGATGCTGTCCAGCCTCAGGCTGGTGCTCACCTGGAGGCACCGTGTCTGCCGCTTATCCCAGAGACGCACCACACCATAGTACGAAGAGCCACTGGCAATCATATGGTTCTTATCGCTCCTTATGCAGTACAGGGCACTGTCATGGGGTTCTTCCCACTCCTGGACACACTTCCTGCAAGGGCAACACAAACCAGAGGGGGTTGAGCCTCCACCCAATTTGCCTGAAGGAGCTAATTCAGCAACAGGTGAGTTCCCAGACACTGCAAGGAGAGTCCAGGAGCCTCACGTGGGCCCAGATGCCGGCAGGGTAGGCTCACCTGGTGCTGGTCCGTATGTCCCAGTAGCGGATGTAGGTGTCATACCCACAAGAAAGGAGGAGTGAAGGTGTTTCGTAGAAAACATCAAGGACTCCAGCTCCGCGGTGGAAGTCGGTCCCTAAACAGGTCAACAGCTGACCACTGCAATAAAACACAAAGGGGAAGTAGTAATTCAGAGCAAAGAGCCCTCCCAATTCAACTGTCCAGAGCAGAGTCACAGCTGTAAGAGGAAGAGCCAAGGAACAGGCAGAGCAGATCCCCAGCAGAATGGGATAATTTTCCTTGGATGGAGTGTCCAGTATTCTGAATTATGGGGCTCCAGTTCCACAGGAGACAATTCTCAAACTCCAGATTAATCTGCAACAGCCTGGTCAATCCCATGCCATACTCTGCCCTTCAAAATACGGGGGTATTCCCCTGTAGCTTTAACACACAGCTCAGATTCACAGGCAAATCAGACTCTCCTGCCTCAGTCCACCATGGCTGCTCTCCTCAACCCCCTTCCAGTTACACTGCGTATTGCAAACACCCTGTCTGGGGCTAAATGTGACAGGTCAAGAGCAACCACCCCAAGGTATTTCTGGAGATGACCTTCCAAAGGCTAGATTTTTTTTCATTTTGTCCCTTCCCTTCTTTTTAGTTCCTTGCTTGCTGTGAAAGAGCAAGGCAAGATCTCCATGAAGCTCTACACCAGGTGCTTTGTGGTAGTATCACTGCTGCTCGTTCATGTGCAGAACCAGCAGCTCACCAGGTGGATGGTGCCTGGTGAGGGCCCATCCTGCCAGACTGCAAGAACCTTGAGCCCCTTCCCTGGGCCATATGAAATTGCATCAGGTACATGACACAGCCTGTTCCCAGTATCACTCCACCTGTCCCAGCACCCAGCAACTCCTAGCCATGACAGACTCTTAGGAATGGAGGGGACAATCTGCCCAGCTGCTTGAAATGGCCACCTATTGCAAACCCTCCTTTTCTTCCTCCTCACACCCTCTACATCAAAAATGCTGGACACAATAAACCTTGAAGCACCTGCTTTGCACACCCTGCTTCATGGCCACCCCTCTCCAACAGGCTCTTGGTTCTCAGGACAATGAAGCAGTCCTGAAAGCCAACCGCACAGATCCCGCAGTGGGGTCACTCCCAGCATCTCCCTCCATTATTTTGTTACTTTCTGCTCCTTGATCCAGCATCACACAGTTCGGAGGCACATTGCCAAATGCCTTAATTCTGTCTGTAATCTGGGCTAAAGCCCTCATCAGGGGATAAAGACCACACAAAAGGAGAAATAGAGTCCTGGGAGATGTTAAAACGAGTAAACACCTTTGTGTCAGGAGAGAGAAATCGCTGATAAAGCAGATTAGTGCCTCAAGCCCTGGTGTCCCCAGATCAGAAGGCGAGCCCTGGCCGATCTTTGCAGCCAGCACGCTTCTATGATCACAGAGCTGGCGGCATGCTGGGGCCAGCCTGTTTCCCCACAGTCACTCTCCAAAGAGCAGATTATGTAGAATAACAATTTCTTTGTGGCTGTGTAATTCCCTCCGTGACCGTGGCTGTGGGCAGCTACATTGGTCCTTGATGCCAGGGCCCTAGCAACCATTTAGAGAGGCCAACCAGCCCTAGCAATGGCCCCCCCATGCAAACCTCTCGGACAAGCTTTAACATCAAGTGCATGAATTAATCCCCCCCAACACGAATCCAGGGGTGCTGGCTTATTGGACTTTGTGTTTTTCCAGGCAAGGGATCGAGGGGATTCCAGGCTTCAGCCTTTTGCAACCTTCTCACAATACATTAACCCTTAGAAGGTTACTTGCAAACTAACCTAGCAGCAACTCAGCACCTGTCTGCAGGTTGAGAGGTTGAAGCATTTGCAGTCAGAGCACCGGGAGCAAGAGCTGTGGGGTTTGGTTGGTGCAGATGGGTCCTCAGATCCATCATGGAGTGAGACATGGATGGGCATCTCTAAGCTCTGGCACTCCCTTGCCCCTCCAAGCACACAGATCCTCTCCATCTGCCATTCTGCAAAGCCAGCAGGACAGATGGACATGCACACAGCCCTTCTCAAGGTTTCTGAAAAACCTCCTTCATTCTGTGAGTTATATGTGTGGCCCAGAGTTGTAAGACACAGAACAGAGGTTCTGAGAAGGAGTCAGCAGCTCTCCCAGACAAGAAGCCCTGGACTATCCGTGAGATGCATAAGGGGCCAGATAGCCCAACAGAGTCCTCTGCCAGGTGCTCAGGCAGGAGCAAGGAGTTCCAGGAGATAAGCTATCCCAGCAAACCCTAGGCAACACCAGCAGCTTGTACCCATCTCCCCACTTTGGCATGCTGCTTTGTTTCTGGTTTTGCAGGGTAGGCCCTGAGCTGGTACTCTGAGCATGTGAGAAGAAACCAGGACATACAGCTGCACATGGGCCACACAGCCCAGTAGCACATCTGGTGAATATCCTGCTGGCTAGTTGATGTCTGTCTGTGTTAGTTCCTTTCCACCATTTTCCTTTCTAGCACACCTTTAATATGTAAAGGACTAAGGGAGCTCAGGTAGAGAGGAGCATTGAGCTGAGGAAAGGTAGCAGGATGTAGAAGCACATCCAGGAATATTTTACTCACTGGGACCAGCCCTCTTCCTCTTCTCAGGTGCTTGAAATAGGTCACAGCCGTTCTCCTCACAACCTCTCACCCCTAAACAAGCACTCATCACACTCAGAGCAAGCCTAGCCACACTAAAGCTTGTCTTCCATTCCCCAGACCTGACTTCAGTCTGCAGTGCTGGAAGATGGCAGCAAATTTTACTGGCAGCCTGGTGATGTCTCCAAGTGAACAATAGCAGCATCAGAGGGTCAGGAGAAACCAGAGTATCTGGATTCCTGCTTTCACTCTGCTGGTTTGTTAGGCAGTTCAGATCTTCTTTCCCAAGAACAGGTCAGCCAAAGCAGCTCTCAGCTGCGAGGTGCCACCCCTGGATACAGCACAGCCCTTGGGCAGTTTATAGAGGCAACACATTAGTTGCTACAGTGAAGCACTTACCATCTGGGACCAGGGGAAAATGGTACTCTGCTGTGCACTGGGCACACAAACCAAAACACCCAAGTGTTCTGGCATGGGCACACTTAAGGTGATAAAGATGCAGAACACAATTTATATTTCCTCCTTTTTTCAGCAGATTAAGATGTCTCTGCACCAGCTACCACCATGTCAGACTAGTTCTACATGCCTACAGCATGCACAGCCATGCTGAGCCCATGCTGGGAAGGGAGCTTCTTACTACTACAACTCTTCCAACCTTGGGATCACAAGTTAGTGCCTACAAATTGTCCTGTCTTTGTTATCCCAAATACTCCTTGGCCTCAAACCCTAGTCCCCAACAGCTTCCACTGCCTAGGGAGAAAAACCCACAGCCAATCCTTAATAATCCATAAAGGATCAAGATAACCCTGCAAGGGGCAACAGAAAAGCAGCAGATACACCAGCACATCACCAGTGTTTCTAACAACTTACATGGAGAGATGATGCCTACTTCATGAGAGACTGAAAGAGATGTCATAGCTACCTTGAACCTTGGTCACCAGCTTGCAGAGATCACTAGCACCAGTCAAACACATTAGGGAACAGCCTTCTCCTTTCCTTTGTGGTCTCTTTTTCACCCAAACGCCTTTCAAAGCCAGGCTAGCTGAACCTCAGCACTTCAGAGGCTCTGTCCTTGTTGTGGGCTATGAAGGTTAGTTGGGAAGCATCTGTGAAGACCAAGCAAGATCAAGCATGGAAGGTCCAAAGCCCCTTCCCACCATGCCAGCAGTAACAAGCAGAAGCTGTTTCACTCCCAGGCCTTCTTCAGGTAAGCCAGGTGCAGATGGTGCGAGCTCTAGTATGTTTTCAGTACTGAACAGCTTAGGCCAGATAGTGCCCTGGTTCAGCCCCAGTGCTGGGCAGCACTAAGAGAAACCACTTTCTCTTATCACCCTCCACAACTACCTGAAAGTAGGTTGTAGCCAGGTGGGAATCAGTCTCTTCTCCCACGAAACTAGTGACAGGACAAGAGGACAGTCTTAAGAAGCACCAGGGGAGGCTTAGGTTAGGTATTAAGATGAATTTCTTCACAGAAAGGGTGATTAGACACTGGAATGGACTGCCCAGGGAGGTGGTGGAGTCACTGTACCTGGAGGTGTTTAAGGAGAGACTGGACACGGTATTAAGGTGCCATGGTCTAGCTGACATGGTGGTGGTAGGTCATAGGTTGGACTCGATGATCTCACAGGTCTTTTCCAACCTGATTGATCCTGTCATAAACTCTGCACCAGTGGAGCTCTGTGAGGCAGAACCACAAACATGGCAGTGTAGGTTTCCTGGAAAGACCAGTGTAGTGCCAGGGCTCTTGGTTTCAGCACTTTAACCACAAACCACCCAGGCCAATGCAGCCTACAGACACACAGGTAGGCCTCCAGCACTGAGGAATCTCACAGATAGTCCTGATCTCTCCTACTTTCTGCTAAGCATCTAGACAGACTGAAATAATACTGGTTGTAATCCAGTACCACCCTACAAGGAACAGAGCCAGAGCAAATCCAGCAGCCCATTTTGTCCCTAGCACAAGAAAGCTCTATTAGCACCAGGCTCTGGACTCCTTGCTGATAGAACAAGATGTTTAAACAAAGTCTGTGTGCCTGGGAAATGTATCAAACTAATGAGTCAAAAATAGAAAGGCATTTTGTTCGGACACTATAGAGAAACCTTTGACTCATATCCATTAATTTCTATGTTGTTCAGAAAACAAGACTTTTTGTAATTACTTTTGAAATAAGCTGTGTGTTTGGGATTTCACATTCCACTCTGCTTTCCATGCTGGAAATCTAGCCATGAGCAATGCTACCCTGATACCTCCAGAAGACAGAAGCCTTCTAGCCTGGAAACAGAGTAAACTACTAAGGAAGGGAAGAAACAGGCTGGTTTCTTTAAGTTTTTGTTTGAAAAACAGCTTAAAGTTTTATTCCTTCTCAGTCCACTAATATGAAGACAAAATAAGATCAGTCATGGCAGAGCCCAGATGGTTAGTTTCCAGATAATCCATGAGATATTTCTGCCAGCAAGTTAAAGTCATATACAGCTTCCCAAGCCACCGCAATTATTTGTGTGACCATAAAAGCTCA